CATCCATCTCCACTGCAAAAATGGATTCTAACCTACTTGGCTAATCTTTTGGCCACCAAGTCTCTCTTAAGAGAGAGGTCTTGGATTCTACTCCTAGGAGTAAAATAGTACGGCTTGGGTACGGTACGACTTGGATATATACTATGTATGTTCGTTAAAAATTAAGAAGAAAAAATTTGGATACATGTTTCATGTATCCGATACGTATGCAGAAGTATCATACGCCGGTAAGTATCCGGTACGAGTACGACATGTTTGTCAAATACCCATACTTCATAGGTGTCGATAGAGACAGAGTACTCAGATGTACATGAATATCTCGATTTGTTGTAAGGATCTAGTCAAAGGTTTTTCACTCAAATCTTATCCGATCTTGTTAGCTTTAACCTTACATACACGTATATACAAATTATTAATGGCTCCTTTGTTTCTTGGCTGTTGCAATGCAGACATTTGAGTGAAACATATCAAAGCAAAACCACAGACAATGATTTAGAGAAAAAGAAGCATCGATGGACGTTTCCTTTTCTTGAACGATTTCCCTCGATTGTACGTTGGCTTAAATGAATGTAGATAATATTAATACCTCTAAAATAGATATCACAAACACAAGTGTATGGTGCCTTTTTTGTTTTAGGGTAGTGGACAAAATAATTTGTAATGGTATGTATTGTCGAAGATGGGAGTTATCATTAGTTTCTTTTTCAGTCCATGCTATCTTTCACGTGCCATCTGTTTGGTTGTTCTTGGAATGTAATTATCCCTACAGATTTTGAAAATTTAAATGATACGCGTAAAAGATGATTGCAATTCTTTTATGAGAAACTCCAAATTTTGTTCTTTGTAATCTTCTTGGTGAGGCCAACTTGATAAGGACCAGCACTGAGCCCAGCCGTATGCAGCTATGCACCCAAATTTGCTTCCATCAATATTGATGCTGTGTTATCTACACATTATTTGCTTGTCATGAAACTATAATTACCTCCACTCTTTCAAAAAATTCTTCTTTCAAAAGTGCCTTTAATTTAACTATAGATTCTTGTTAGTATTTTGTTTCGGGTCTTATTTATGAATAATCAGATGATTTCTTGGGAAAAAATAAAATATATACCAAATTTTGCAATATTATTGAATCCTGTTTAATTATTTCTTATATTTCAACGGTTGTTTTGGGAATAGGCTTATAAGTTGGCTCTTTGATTTATTACAAAAAAAAATATACAAAAAAAATATCAAAGTAATGTGACTTAAGCTAATAAGTCAATAAACTAAGACCCCGTTTGTTTGGGGTTATAGGGAGGGGATTGAGTTTGGTAGTGATGAGAGGATTGAGAATGGGGTGTTTGTTTTGAGAGATAGGGAGAGGATTAGTAATCCCTTGGTATTTGTAAGGAGGAGGAAGGGGGATTGGTAAGGAAGAGGTAAAGATGGTATTAAAAAAATAGTGAGAAGATTATAAATTTTTTTATTTTTTATTTTTATATATTGAGAATTTTTTTTAAACATAATGCTTATATGCTTGTTCCCAAATAAGACTAAACTCTCTCAAGGACAAAAATTGATTGCTTTACGTACACGTATACAAGACACATTAACAAGAATTTGAAAATGATTCACGTGCCAAATTAGGCATGTTTCTTGTCATTTCATAAGTACAATGGAATTTTCTTTTTTTTTTTAAAAAAAAAAAATTCATATGGATCTAAGGAGATGCGGCAAGAGCCGTCGCACCCTCAAAAGTTATAAAAATTATATATGTTATATTAATAATTAAAAAGATAATCTTCGCATCTTCAAATTTTTAAAAGTTCGTACCTCCAGATTATTTACATTATAAAATTTTAAAAATTGTTTATAAATTGAGTTTTATAAAATATTGATCTATTCTATTTATTATCTGTATTATTTTTTATATTTATATTTATATATGGTTTAGAGTTACTTATATTCTTTTATTTGCTTTTATATTCTTTTCTACTCATATGTCATTTATGTATCTTATTTTGCATTCATTCTTATTTGTTAAAATAGGAATATTGCTTGGAAATAAAAATATTGTCTACTTTAACATGACATTATTAAAATAAGTTCATAAAATAATATCGCTTATTGAAACGGATTATCATTATACTCATAAAAGTATACATTTTCAATTATAAATTTTTTTTAATGCATTCATTCTTGTTTGTTAAAATAGGAATATTGCCTGAAAATAAAAATATTGTCTACTTTAACATGACATTATTAAAATAAGTTCATAAAATAATATCGCTTATTGAAACGGATTATCATTATACTCATAAAAGTATACATTTTCAATTATAATTTTTTTTTTAAAAACAAAACTCCATAATAAGATAGAAGATGATTTTGTAACAAATTACTTGAACATATTTATAGAGAGAGATATTAATTAAAGTTTTGATGTCACTACAAAAAAAAAAACACAAATGGCGACCAAAAAAAAAAAATTCGTCGCTAAAAGTGCATGAAATGGCGACTAAAATGGAATTAGTCGCCGAACATAAGGGTTTTAGCGACTAAAAGAGTTTAGTCGCCGAAAAGCAAGGTTTTAGCGACTAAAAGGAAGTTTAGTCGCCGAATATAGGGTTTTTAGCGACTGAAGTTTGTTTAGTAGCCAAAAGTCACGGTTTTTGGCGACTAAAATAATTTAGTAGCAAAAAGTTATGGTTTTGGCAACAAAAAACAGGTTTAGTCGCTGATTATAGCAGTTTTGCCGACTAAAAACAATTTAGTCATTGAAAGTGACGTTTTTTGGCTACAAAAAAAAATTAGTAGCTAAAGGTCAAGAATTGCCGACGAAAATGCATTTTAGTCGCCCAAAGTAGAGGTTTTGGCGACCAAAATTGAGTTTAGTCGCCAAATGTGCTAGCCTTAGGCGGGTTGTAACTGTTTTAGCGACAGAAAAGAAATTAGTAGCCAAAAAATGGAGTATTGGCAACTAAAATTCAGATTTAGTCGCCAAAAGTGCTTACCCTATTTTTTTTTGTAAATATTTTATTTTTTACATAAAATATATTAAATAAAAAAAATTATTTTTATATATACAATTTTGTATTAATACCAGTGAATATAGTATATAAATAATATTTGTTGCAATAATATTCATGTGATTTGGGAGTGGCGTAGTGGGGGAGCAAGCCTTGGGAAAGGCGTAGTGGGGTGCAAGTGTTGGGAACATAGGTTCGAACCTTGGGACCTCCAGTAGAGGCAACTTTTTTTTTTTGTGAAATATGGTTTTGGCGACTAAAGGCGTTGGTCGCCGAAAGGTATACCTTTTGGCGACGAAAAGCTTAGTTGGGAAATGTTTAAATAATAAATAAAAAAATCACTATTGACGACTAAAAATTTAGTCGCTAAATGTATAATTTCAAAAAATGGAACTGCATTTGGCGACAATTTGTTTCGTCGCTGAAGACCTGTGAATTGGCGACTAACAGGTTTTTAGTCGCCAAAGGCATTGCCGACCATGGATTCGCGACGACAGTGGCGACTAAAAGTTTTTGTCGGGAAAAGTGAAAATTCGACCTTTGGCGACTAAAAATTTAGTTGCCAAAGGTGTATTTTCTTGTAGTGTGTCGAGCTTATTATAGATGTTTATATATATTATAAAAATTGACTATTACAACAATTTTAAATAATTAACTTTAGTAGATGGAGATAGTTAATATTTTGTTAAGTTAATGCAGACAAAAAAAATATGTCCAATTATATTTTTGTTTTCAATTATGTTGGCAAAGAATGTCTGATTAATAGTAATATTATTAATTTTTTGTGCTGGTATAAATCAAAATTTAAAAATTTATAATAATTATTTTTAATGAAAAGTTACATGTGTTTTTGCTCTCTCAAAACTCAAATCCTAAATCTGTCCCACATCTTCAAATTTCAAAAGTAATTATGTATAATCACGTCATTATAAATTTCAAAACTTTTCTCAATCATTTTTAATTTTAAAATAATTTTTTTAATGAATATCTTTCATAACTATATTCATTATAAAATTATGCTTTGGACAGAAATTGGATCCCTTACATCAATGTGTCAAATAGAAATTCAATTCACCTAGGAAAAAATAACAAAAAGAAAATGCTAAAAAATTCGTAAGTCTAATCATATTCAAGCTTTTTGTTATGAGATTACATAATTGATACATCCGGTTTTAAATTAGAAATTTTGAGTAATTTTATGTTTTTTTATTTTTTTATGTTATAAATTATGAAGAACAATTTAGCAAAATGTGAAACATTGTAACGTGTAAAATTAACTTTTGTTGCTGCTTGCTATTATCACTTGACAAATTTTTTTAATAACTATATCACGGTTTTGAAATTAACGATTAGACAAATTTTTAGAGAATCTAAAATTTTAAATATTTGAGTTTTTTGATATTCGACCTCCAGACTGCTTAAATTATAAGTCATTTGATTATCTCTCTTACTTTTTAAACCAAATCTCTTGAAGTTATACTTGACAATATTTATAGCAGTGGTGATACATACCACTAAAAGATAGCACTAAGTCAGTTTTAATGAGCTGACAGTGCAAGAAATAAAAAATAACAAAAAACAAAAAGTAAAACATCAAATCAATTAGAGCTATAGTGTATTTAGAGCTATTAGAGCTCATTGTTTTAGAGCTCTTAAACAATTTTCTATTTACTGAAGCCAAAAATACAAGGGTGCTAGTTGCCACCTGGCTTGTACTGTGTATATATATATACAAACATTTATATAATTATAGTCACTTTGTTTGATTTTAATTTTTAGAATTTACTTTTTAAAAAATTTTACTTTTTTGTTTTTTCGTAATTTTTTTTTTTGTTTTCATTGAATTTTTAAAATATTTTAAGCATTTTTTAAAATTTTTAGACACACTTAACATAAATATACTTAAAAAGTATAATATTTGTGAAAAAAATATTTAAAAAATTCACTAAATATCAAAAATACGAAATAAATAAATAAATAAATAAAAAATCAGTATATTTTTTTTATATTTGTGTACATCCGGCGGGGACGAACTTGAACAGTAAGAGGGTAAGCCATTTCGCAAGAAAGCCTTAGCACCTCCGACAAATCCACGGAGTCGTTGTTGTGATCCCATGGACCCCACTCGTACTCCTTCAACAGAGACGCCACCCAGAAGTTGACCGTGGTCAAGCCCAATGACTTCCCTGGACAAGACCTCCGACCCGACCCGAATGGTGCCAGCCTCAGATCCGACCCCAGCACCGTGAAGTTCTCCGCTACCACCACGTCATCATGCTTGGTCACGAACCTCTCTGGGAGGAACTTGAGTGGGTCCGACCAGAGGTGTGGGTCCCTGGTGATGGCCCACATGTTAACCATTGCTGTGGTCCCCGCAGGCACGTTGTATCCATCAACACAAGTGTCTGTGATTGCTAAACGGGCCCACGATAGAAGTGGTCCAGGTGGGTGAAGCCTAAGTACTTCCTTTACCACTGCCTGTAAGTAAACCATTGATGGAATATCGGATTCTGTAACCGCTCCTGATTTTCCCACGACCCTGTCCACCTCCTCTTGCACCTTTGATTGGACATCTGGGTGGAGTACCATCCTCGCCAGGATCCACTCTATCAAAACCGCCACTGTATCTGTTCCTCTAAATATCATTTCCTGTTGTATCAAATCATTACGCTTTAAATTACTATTCATCTCTTCACTTAAAAATATATCATTTACATTTACTCCTCCTTAAATGTATCACTGTAATAAATTTCATATATATTCAATTTATTATATTTCAAAAATAATGGAAAACATCATCATATCCTATGAATCATTTTTACAAATATGATATAACTACATGGATACCAATCAGTGTGTTTGGTTTAAATTTTTTGGATTAAATTTTTTGAAAATTGAATTTTTTGATTTTCGTATTCTTTTGTTTTTAGTGTATATTTTTAAAATTTTAAACATTTTTTTACTTTTTTAGATGCACCTTAATTAGATATATTTAAAAAGTAAAAAATTTATGAAAAAATATTTTAAAAAATTAATAAATACATAGAAATACAAAAAATGTATTGAATTCTTATATTTTTTTTTGTATTTTTGGTATTTAGTAAATTTTTAAAAGAATTTTTTTACATGTTTTTTACTTTTTAGGTGTATTTATGTTAAGTGTGTCTAAAAAGTAAAAAAATTGCTTAAAATATTTTTAAAAATTCAATAAAAACAAAAAAACACAAAAAATAAGTGAGTAGAATTTTCTGAAAAGTGTTTTCTGAAAAGAGAGTACAAGCAAGCTGAATGTGTTTGGTTTGAGTTTTTTGGATTAAATTTTTTTGAGAGAGAGCAATGGAGAGAGAAGTGGTAGTTGTGGAATGTGAGATGGATCGGCAACCCGGAATCCCTGACTCGGTCGCCACTCGGTCGGACGACGTCGCTTTGGTGGTGTTTGATTCCGCCGCTCCTCCTCCTCCTCCTCCAATCCCACCTTCAGGGGACAAGGTACGTATTTATTACCCTTACACACACACCTTCAGGAGACAAGATACGTATTTATTACCCTTACACACACATACACCACACACACACCTTCAGAAGGCAAGGTACGTATTTATTACCCTCACAAACACCACACCACACCATACACCGCACACACTATACAACTATGTATCCATACGTATATATTCATATGTACGTATCGAAATTTTGTACTTCTCTCCAATTTATATTGGACTGGACCCGTCACGCAAAATCTAACTCGTCCATTATTTGATCGATGTAAAAAAATTTGGGATTAATGTTTTAAAAATCGGACCGATAAGCAAATCAAAAAAGTAATCGGTGGACGGGTCATCATTTCTGTTGTTGAGTTTAATCGAAATCGAACCGTCAAGCCATAAATATATTAAAATTATATTTAAATAAAAATATAAGTAATAAAATTATAAATTAAAAAAGTTAAATTATCTTAAATATTTTTCCTGATATTTTTTTTACTAAAAAATATGATAATATATTTTAAAATATTATTAATTTTAATTTTGGAAGAGGAAATCAAACATCCAATATTTCTCCATATGATTTTAATTCAAATAATTTGATTGAAAGAAGAACAAAATTTTTGGAGGAATATCAAAATTTCAAGTCTTCCTTTAATAAATTTGATTGAATCGCACATGGATTTTTTAAGTTTTTTTGGAAGAATTTTTTTCTTATAAATAGATAGAGACTTTTACCATAATTTCAAATTCTTAATGAGATTCCTCACAAGAAGAGACCATTGAAAGAGAGTTTCCAATTAAAATTTTCTTATATATATAATAAGAAAGAAAAATAAGAGAAAGAATATAAAAAAAAAAGTTCAAAATTTTCAATTTAATTGACTCGGCGAATTGTCCTCTGATCGACCGATTTGGCGGTTTAACCACTGATTTTTTCAGTTCTCTTTAAATAGGCCGGTTTTTGGCTTTGATATATTCGGACCGAAACTCCGACCAGTCGATAGTTCAATCAATCGAATCGGCCGGTCTGGTCTAGTTTTTAAAACCTTGGTGGATACGATAAAAAATATTTAAAAAATAAGTTATGAGTATAGATAGATATATAAATTTGAAAAAAATATTATTTTTAATTTAAAATAATATAAAATTTAGTTAGTTAAAATCTAACCAACACTTTATATTTAATGCTAAAAGTATGGTATAAAACAAATTAAATATCATTATATTAAATAATTTATAAATTAAAGTTTAATTTTAAAATCATGTAAAGCATACAAAAAATAAAGAAAAAAAAAACTAACTTTACATTTGTGTAGAAAAAATTACTATTCCAACTAAGGTACAATTTGAAGATATACTAGGTACCTATATGGTGCAACAATTTTTTTTAAAAAAAAATTTAAGTATATATTTTGTGTATTTAGTACATATACAAAAATACTATGTAAAGTGTAATGACATATTTATCAAAATATTCATATTATATCATTTGAAAAATCACATAAGTAAGTTTTTTTTAACGAATTAATGTCACGATATATAGAAGGATTCACTCTTAAAATTAACTTTTGGACGTGCATGCAAACAGCAATACTAATTAAGAACCATGCTATTAAAACTATATATTGAGTGAATGATTTTACAAACATACATGAGTACTGACAATTTCGAAATATTATAATTTTAACTTTTTTGACAAGAAAAATAAGATAAAATGATATTTGGTGTCGGATCTTATTCATCTTTGATTTGAACCCTGTGCTGTGGGGGCAATGTTTTGATTGTATTTGAGATTTTACTGGAAACATATTAATTTAGGAATAAGTTATTTTAGTAATTTTTTAATTAAAATATGAGATAAACAAATGTGTAAAAATTAAAAAATCAAGAAGTCACTAAACATATTTTTGTAAAAAATTAAAATGACAACTAACATAGTTAAAAAAAAAAAAAGAAGAAAAAAAAAGAAAAAGAAACTCTAAATATGCCATCTATATGTTGCGTAATCAACAGTAAGCAATCACATACAAATACAGTCCAATCAATTCACTATATTATAATCCACAGCAAAATGCAAGTAAGATTTTACAACTCAACCTAACTGAATTAAAGCATTTTAGGCTTTTTAGTTGTCGAATCTACAAATTTGCAATTGTGCTTTTTTGTAACAACCAAATCCTATAACATAGTTCCCACTTTCGGTGCACATTGATATATTATTTTAGGCATAATTAACATTATTTTAAGACATAGTTTCAAGATCATTATAAAAATAATTAAAATCATCATTTTAGAGAATAGAAAGGCCAACATGCCATTGCACATGATATGTTAGGCTTGGACGGACTCGATTGAGTTAAGAGTTAGTCCAAACTCAGCCCGAAATATGAAGGGATTAGTCCAAGACAAAACTAAGTCCAAGCCCAAGCACCTGCACCTAACCTCTGCCTAAATGAGTTTGAGGTCTCGTTTGGGAACAGGCTAATTTAGTAATTTTTTGGCTATTTGGCTAAAAAGGTAGGAAAAAAAAACTTGTATGTTTGGGATGACTTTTTGGCTAATTACAAAAAGATGTGCAAAAAATAGAGAGAAAAGAGAATCTTTGACTTTTTGGTATGAGTTGTTAGCTTTTTGGCTAATTTAGTAACTTTTTGACTAATTAGTTAAAAAAGTAAGTTCCCAAACGGGGCCTTAGTGTTATGCAAAACTATGATAGGCCTATTTTGAGAAGTGGGTTATAATTCATTTTCTAGATTATAACTCACTTCCTCTCTTACAAAAAGACTGTTTATAAACTGCTTATAAGCAATTTTTCATTAAAAAACTCATTATAACTATCTTCCCAAAATAACCCTAAATGAAATATTCTAACAACATAGTAAGTTGATAGCCTTAAAAAGTAAAAAGAATGTGTGGGGTTTACTATCCTTAGGACAATAGAGAGTTGCCTAATCGTTAATTTATGGATCTCAAAAATTAATCAAGATGTATTTAAGTTAACCCCGTCACCCAATTATCAATTTTTTTTTTCCTATCAAATAACAACTGATCAAAAAATAAATAAAATATATATATAACAAGGTAGGGTGAAATGAATATTACTAACCCAGAGTACAGCGACCATATCAGGATCAGATAACTTGGCGGGGCCATGCAGAGAAAGTAGAACGTCAACAAAATCTTGGTTGGCGAGAGCTTGGGCTCTATCTCTATGTTCAGAGATAATCCGGTTCACAAACCGGTTCACTTTGGGCACAAGTTTGGAACATCTAGACCCTACTTTTTGCAGGTCAAGCCCTACGAGCCAAGGAAGGTGATCACCCCAGTTGAGTTTCCCTAACAGCTCGTACCCTTCTTCCGAAAGCCTGCTTAGCTCATCGCTTTCATCACTACGCAGTAGGCATTCACGTCCAAACACAGAGCACATCATGTGGTTCAAAGAGGCCCGTTTCAGTATGTCTCGAACACTGAATTCTCCTTTGAGTCCCGCAATCACTGTAATCATCTGGTTCGCGATTTCAAACCTCTGCGCTTCTGAGTTACTGATTTGCTGAGGGCAGAAGAGATGGGTCGAAGCGATTTTTCTTAGGGTTCGCCAGTACACTCCATAAAGAGCAAACCCAATTGCTCTGTTGAACATTAAGCTATAAGCTGACTGTTTCACCGGCCGATCGGCAAAGACCGGGCTAGTAAATATCTCTTTAGGTACGTCGGGGTTGGAGGTGACGATAACCCGGGTCTCGCCCAGGCTGAAAGCCATGAGCCGCTTTGCTCCGAAGAGCTCGGTCGTGGCTGCGAGCCGGCGGTGAGCAAGGCTAGCCATGAGGGTCATGCTTCCGAGCACTGGTACTCCCCGAGGACCTGGTATGATTGGGTCATGAGCTTTAGTTCGTCTCTTCCAGCCTTGCTTTCCCCAAGCTGGGCCACCAGGGTGTGCCCAGTAGAGCAAAGTCATGATCAGCCAAGAACAAAATAGAGCAACTAGTATAAAAGTTATGTTTTCAGGAGATAAAGATTTGGATTTCGAAGTGAGGAACAAAACCCACAAACTCTCTGTAGTACGAGTTTCCATGGCGGAAAAGGTTTGAGCTCTGACAATATCTTGACGGTATTGTTTGTTTACCCTTTTTGGGTAATACTATGACGTGGTATGTTTGTATTTATAGACGGAGAAGGGGGAGAGAGAAATTTAGAAATGTTTTTTTTTACTATTGAATTATTTTGTCATTTTATTTTACATTTTAGGTACTTTTATACTAGTATAAAATATTATGTCGGTAGAATTCATCCCGATTAAAAAATAAAAATAATTTTCCAATATAAAATTTATACAAAAATAAATTTAGAATGATGTGTTTATAATATTTTCTTTTTTAAAATTATGAAAATAATGGATGATATTTTGGTTGAAAATGAAAGTCCTACAAAAAAAAAAAAGTCATATAATTCTTTTTGAAAATTTTGTTGGCATGACCTTACTCTTGAAAATAATGAATGAAAAATTATATACGTAATGAAAGTTTTTAATTAAATATTTTGGTGGTGTAGTGTTCTTATAAATTTAAAATATTTAACCCAAATTAAAGTTTTTTTTTGGGGGGGGTTAAAATTTATACCAGTATATATAAAAAAAATCAATTATTATATTATTGTTAAATTTTCTTACATCTTCGTAATTTTATAACTTAAATTTTTATGTTTTGTATACAACTTGATAATTGTATGAATAACGTTCATTCAAAAAGTGAGTCGCGTACTCACCGAGATGGGTAATTGTATGAATAACGTTGATTCAGAAAGTGAGTCGCGTACTCACCGAGATGGGTGTGGTCACAGACTCATCGTGCAAAGGAGGAGAAGACGAAGCGAACGTGGGGTGTGATGTTTACAAGTGGCAATTTGGGACATAATAGTGATGGTTACGTGTCATTGTTTGGAGCAACCCACTTGGATACTTTTTGAGCAAATATTAAATGAAAGGGTAGTGACGTTATTTTAGTGAGGTAATTAATTAAGAAATTATTTGAATTAAGACTAAACAAATTTCTATTAACTTGGTCATATAATTTCTCTTATGATTTTTTTTTTTTATAAATTAAATAATAATATTATCACATAAGCTTTATATTTAAGTTCAAAGTTTATCATATGAGTTGGCGTAGAAGATTAAAAAAACTTAATTAATCACATAGATATATTTATTATAACTATTTTACTCTTTTAATTTAAAAATTGTACAATCAAAAGTACATAATTTTTACCTTTTAAAAGGAAGATATTTGTATAATTATTGTAATAATTATTAAGAGATATCATTGTAATATTAATGAAGAAATAAATATACATAACCTAGAAGGATAGTTCAGTTGGTTGGGAAAGGAAAATTTTGGGACGCACGGTAAATCTTGAACGTCTTGAGTTCAATTCCCACTCTCAACCCATTTACTCATGAGTCACTGTGTTTTTACCTGTTCGATCGGTTTGAGATCCCAAGATTAGTCGAGGTCCTAAAAATATGCTGGCCCAAATATTCAATAATCAAAACAAGAAAAGAAAAAAGAAATAGATATACATAACAGCCATGTCTTTACCTTTTTTTTTTTCGGAATCATTGGTGTGGGGTGGGGCTGAGCAAGAGACAAATTCTGCTTTCCCAAAGCTATTTGGTAACCCAACATAAATTATTTGGCAGTGTGCGTGAACGGCGACTGATCAATTTGATTGTTTCTTGCACTGTCCCAATCAAATGCCTTTTTAACTTTGAATTATTCCGAATACATTTTATTTTTGATACCATGATTTATGGGGCTAGATAAATTGTAATAACTCAGCAAGCTATTCATTGACATGAGATTTTATTTTATTTTTGTGGTCGCGGATGTGATATGAAATTTATGAGGTTAGATAAATTATAATAACTCAACAAGCCTATTACATTCATTGACATAGGATTTTGTTTTATTTTTGTGATTGCGGATGTGATATGGGAATGGGACGATGCTACTAAAGCACGTACCAATGGATGTTGGTTCGGTTAGGCTAGAGGTGTCTCCGCCACGTCATTGTTGACACATTACATATAATAGAAAGATAGATAGATGTAAAATAATGATGCGTGCTCTAAAAAATAATTACGAAAATGTATATATAAAAAGAAAAGACTATGTAAATTAATAAAATTTTCAAATATTCTACAATAATTAATATGTTATGGAATAAAAAAAATTGAGAATCTAAAACAAAACGCATTTTAATAATGTGATCGATGCAATATTAATGAGTAAAAAATTCGTAAGATTTATAATTAGTATAATATTACTCCTAAAAAAAATATATATTCTAATTTATTGTGTGTCTCATTCCATTATATATCTAAAATAAATAGGACCTATTTCTTTTGGCTCATTTTTATACAATTTTTAAAATAAATAAAAAAAAATCTTTCGTGCCGTAGGACTCGTTTGAAAATAGATTATTTTAATAATTTTTTAAATTTTTTTGAAAATATGTGCAGAAAAATAAAAAAAGTGATGTGACAATTTACAATGACTTTTTGACGTAATATATAATTGACAAATGAAACGTAATTTATAATTGACAAAGGAGATCTAAACAACATTCATGTGTATGTGTATCCTTTGATGCTCACTCATGCTGATACAAAATGGACCCACCCATTTTAAAATTATGTTTACGATTTTAATTTGTCAATTTGAATAGTTTTGTTTTGAATTTAGTACATGTAAATTATAAATACATATGATAAATACATTTCGAGTCATTCTTTATTTTAAAAAAAACATATCACCTCAAGATATTTCAAACTGCATATTTTGGTGCTTGGAATTTCATTTTTTTTTTTTTTATGAATGGTTGCCCGGGTCATTTTATGCGCACCTCGACTAATTTCGAGACTCACGCAAAGCTTCCCCTTCACGTAGATTGGGCAAATTTTCAGCAAAATCTGCAGCCATGGCCCCGAAGGAGTTGTAGTGCTTGGAATTTTATTTTTTTTATGAATGAGTGTTCAAACCAATTTACGTGCACCTTCACTAATTTCGAGATTCATGTAAAGCATTTTTTCCACATGGATCGGAAAAATCTCAAGCAAAATTTTGCAAGTGTGGTTCCAAGGAGTTGATAGTATTTAATAAGAGTTGAGCCTAAAATTCAAAGGGAACACACTCAAGTTCCAAACTGTATCCGCTAAGCCAATCTTTTGGGATTTGGAATTTCATTTTATATCAACCACATTTCGCTAAACTTTGTACTTCGACAAAAGAGGCGTATGCATCAATTTGCTATATGTAACAAATTATTTATTTATTTATTATTATTATTTTTTTGTGTGTGTGTGTGTGTTTTTTTTATTTTTTTGGGTGCTCCGGAAAGGATCATAGGAGCCATTGATTGTGGATCAAATATCTTAATGTAGTGATCTAGATAATTAGTACTTTAAAACAATATTTATTATTGGGGGGAGGCACGGATAAAAATCGAAAAAGAAGTTTTGATGTCACCAGGGCTAGAAACCTTGAAAAATTACTAGGGAGTAATGTTTCATTTCACTTACTAATTGATACATTTCATTTTGTTTCCTAAAATACTAATGCAAAAATGATGGCTTTCATTATTTAGATTTTAGACTAATTACTATTAATTTGGAGCACCATATGTACTTGTTTCAAGAATATTGAATAATTTCTCAAGATAGCTGTTGGTATAATGAGTCATTAGTAGGTTAGGGTGGCATTGGAAGGTATATATATATTTACTCAACTTGTTAAAATTGATTCTTTGAATTTTTTGAAAAAAAAAAAAAAAAAATTGTTTGACTCCATTTTCTATTTGACTGCTTTTAGGATTTTTTCTGCTGTGCAAAGATGTATTACGCAACTTTCAGTAACATTTGGATTTTGACCAAAAGGTGACTCTGAAATGCTAGAAAAGTATGGCTCTGGACTATATGAAATTTGAACACAAATCTAATTTTTCATCTCAGCATGTTGTGTGATTTTGAGAAGTTTGACACCTATGTTTGTTTCTTTCTTAGAACAAATTATAGCTTCAGAGGGCATTGCGATCTTCTGTCATTTTGGAAAACAAAAACAAGTGTAACAAATATAATTGGTTCCTAATATAATAAAAAAAAGATTAAAGGGTTGTTCAATGATTTAATTATGTTACACTTTGAATGCATTTAGTATGCCACTTGGGCAAATATCCCTATCTATTACAGTACGTTTGTTCTTTTACATAATTTACTATATTAAATGGTTGGTGCCACACAACTCAACGAAAGAAAACCAATCGTTGAGAGGGAAAAAAAGGTACAAATCATTAATTTGTAGGATTAGGGCAAATGATGAAACGAATTAATCAAAGTGATAATTGGTCAAGTTGGCTTTGAGATGGTTTGTTGTGGAATATGATGTTTCATTTTGGTCACTCTTGATTTGGACTTTTAAAACTCGATCAATTACTTGACCAACTTTAATGGATGCTAAATATCTCACTTTTAAGTGAAGTGATATTTTAATTGTCTTTGTGAGCTGGTAAAAGATTCATAGAAAGCACTTTCAATGTTGTAATTCATATTATCATTTGTACTTGATCATCACTGCTACTGCTAGTGCTAGTGCTAGTGCTAGTTGATTGGTTTGAAGCCCAACAATACCTAAACGCCCTCAGAAATTTTTTGTGCAAGTTGAAACTAAATCTTGTAAAGAGTTTGGGCAATTGTGAACCAATACCATTTGATTATTATACAAGATTGTACTGCTTGGACGGAGATTGATCTGTAAGATTTCTGTCTATTCAATTTTAATTGTTACACAAGAATATATTAGTTTATAAAACAACCTAATCCTAGAACGAAAAAGGAAATACGACTTATTTTAATATACAAAATATATATACTACTATATATACATAAAATTCCTAATATATTCTCATACCTCCGCTCAAACTCAGGGTGTTTTAATAGAAAATACTGAGAGTTTGCCAAGAAGAAATTGAAACCGAGCAGTGGTGTGAGTCTTGGTGAAGAAATCAGCAAGTTGTAGAGCCGAAGAGACGAAAGGAAGTGAAATAGAGTTAGACTATAGATGCTGACAGACAAAGTAACAATCAATCTCAATATGCTTCATCCGCTCATGGAAGATAGTGTTATGGGCAATCTGAATAGCACTACGGTTGTCGCAATAGACAAAGGTTGGAGAAGACTGAGGGACACCCAAATCAGATAGAAGACAACGAAGCTAAACAATCTCAACAGTAGTAGGAGTCGTAGCACGGTACTCAGATTCGGCAGTAGAGCGAGCAACAACAGTTTGTTTCTTACTTTTGAAAGAGATCAAGGAATCGCCAAGAAACGTATGGAAACCAGATGTGGACTTGCGATCAGTAACATCACCAACCCAATTAGAATTAACATAGGCCACCAAATCCAGAGGGGAAATAGAGGATAATAGTAAAATATAGTACCTCGAAGATAGTGGAGAATCCGAACCAATGTAGCCCAATGTATGGAGCGAGGAGCAGAAACAAACTGGTTTACCGAACAGTATAGGCAAGATCAGGACGAGTAACTGTCAAATAAACTAAACAACCCACAAGCTCGCAATATAAAGTGGGATTATCTAGAGGGACACCATCAGTAGAGTTGAGCTTCACATTAAGCTCAATAGGTGTATCAGAAACCTTAGCATCAATAAGACCAGCACGGTGAATGACTTTATTAGCATACTTAGCCTGAGACAGAAAATAGCCATTTGGAGAAGAAGCAACCACAATACCAAAAAAATACCGTAATGGACCCAGATCTTTCATTTCAAAGTTGCGGAAGAGATGCTGTTTGACCTCAAAGATAGTAGAAGAGTCAGAGCCAGTGATAATCATATCATCCACATAGAGTAAGAGAGTAACAAAACCAGCCAAGGTACGTCTTAGAAACAAAGCAGAGTTGGAAGCAGAAGGATGAAACCCAAGTTTAGTAACAGCAGTCTGAAAGCGTCATACCAAGCATGAGGAGATTGCTTCAAACAAATACAGAGCACGCCGAAGACGACAAACCTATCTAGAGGAACAGTGAAGGCTAGGGAGAGGATGCGTGTAAACCTCCTCAGCGAGATGACTATTAAGAAAAAGCATTCTTAACATCCATTTGATAAAGAGGCCAATGGTGAACAGCTGCGATAGATATCAAAATATGGATAATAGTCATCTTGACAACAGGGGCAAAGGTCTTCTCATAATTAATACCATGCTCTTGTGAAAAACCCTTGGCAACCAGACGAGCCTTGTAGTCCTCAAGAGAACTATCGAAATGAGTCTTGACTTTGTAGACCAATTTCTAACTAACCAGATTCTTACCAGTAGGCAAAGGAACTAACTCCCAAGTACTAGTTTTCTACAAAGCAGACAACTCATCCTCTATAGCTCGAAGATCTTGCAGCTGCGTCACCTCTGCTCAGCGAGATGACTATTAAGAAAAAGCATTCTTAACATCCATTTGATAAAGAGGCCAATGGTGAACAGCTGCGATAGATATCAAAATATGGATAATAGTCATCTTGACAACAGGGGCAAAGGTCTTCTCATAATTAATACCATGCTCTTGTGAAAAACCCTTGGCAACCAGACGAGTCTTGTAGTCCTCAAGAGAACTATCGAAATGAGTCTTGACTTTGTAGACCAATTTCTAACTAACCAGATTCTTACCAGTAGGCAAAGGAACCAACTCCCAAGTACTAGTTTTCTACAAAGCAGACAACTCATCCTCTATAGCTCGAAGATCTTGCAACTGCGTCACCTCTGGTGGTCGCATTCAAACTGCAGGTAAACGCCCTCCTAGGCTGCTCCTTCTCCTGGTCAATGAGGCCCTGCTTCATAGCATCCTCGATCTGTACTCACATCTCATGCAAATCTGAAAAGGTAGGGAAGGGGAGCACGATCATTTTCTGCATTAGTTTGGGCTGGAGATTGCGCACAACCATCCGTATTTGATCCTTATCCGTTGGCCTAATGGTCATCATTGAGGCTTTGGCCCTCCAGCGAGCCACGAATTCAGAAAAACTTTCCTTAGGTTCTTGCCTTGTAGTCTCAAGATCACGGGTCGTAATCTCGATTTGGATATTGTATGAATATTGTGCGATGAAGGCCTCGGCCATCTCCTCCCAGCTGTGTTTCACTGAATCCTCCAATTTGGCGTACCAGATGGCCGCAATACCCGACAGGGTCCTGCCAAAAAGGGAAAGCTTCTGTAATCTTGTCAAGCCCATCGGGCGCAGAACATCTGAAAACAAACTCAGATGGACCATGGGATCTCCTGACCCGTCAAAACGGTCGATGTGAGGCATCTTGAACCTGTCCGGCAGTGTCACAGCTGCGTCAGTGTACCCGTCTTCAATGTCCGGGATGGACTTTACCCCCTGGGATTTTTTGAACATCTTTTCTAGCTTGCTCACTTTCAGCGCTGTAGGGTCTAACTCGAACTCAAAGGGTGAATCCGGTAGGTTGATCGGTGCTTTAGACAGCTGATCGACTCACATCTCTCACAGTTATCTCTCTTCTTGCAACAACGCTGACATACTTCAGTGCCACATGGCAGTCTCCACAAATCCTCAAATTCTTGGTTACAAGAATGGGCTTGTCAGGGCCCAGACTAAGAATTCCAAACGTAACAGCTAGTTTCTCACTGTGATAGAGGAGAATGCTTTCCTTCTCCTCCTCTTCAACATCTTGAAGAACAAAACTAGATTCAGAATGATAACCCAACTTCTTCATCTCCATTACCATCTCCTCCAATTTCTTGTATATTTCTGCTGAATTCGGGTGTGATTGATCTCCACCAACAAATCCATGGACAACCCCATTTATTTCAACCCAACTACATCCTGGGCTTTTCTTGAATCCTCGATTCCTCTGCACGATTCTAACATTTGCAGCATCGTCCCATCTCCCAACAGTGCTGTATATATTCGATAACAGAACAAAATTTCCAGTACTTTCAGGTCCCAAGCTCTGGATCTTATTTGATACTTCTTCGCTAAGTTCAATATTCTTATAGTTTCTACAAGCAGCAAGCAATGCACTCCATACACGAACATCAGGATCAAATGGCATCGTTTCAATGAAACTCCGAGCCTCATACAAGAGCCCAGCACGCCCCAAAAGATCGACCATGCACATGTAGTGTTCCATCCTTGGAACTACAAAGAACTCTTGGTTCATAGCACAAAACCACTTTTTCCCTTCAGCAACAAGTCCTGAATGGCTGCAAGCTGATAAGAGACAAATGAAGGTCACATCATCTGGCTTTAAGCCTACTGTCTGCATATCATGGAATAGCAAAACAGCTTCAATACCGAGCCCGTGAATACCGTACCCGAAAATCATAGCATTCCATGAGACAATATCTCTCTTACGCATCACATCAAAAACTAGTCTGGCTATATCAACCTTACCACACTTCGAGTACATGTCAATAAGAGCATTACAAATTGAGGTATCTGTTGTAAATCCACGCACAATAGAGTAAGAGTGGCCACAAGCTCCGAGTTGCAGAGCAGCCAAGTGTGAACAAGCAGGTAAGAAACTAACCATGGTTGCCAATTCTGGCTCGAACGCTGACGATTGCATCTTGTGGAAAATACCCAGAGCCCCTTCTGCCTTGCCATTCTGTGCACACCCTGAGATAATAGCATTATATGAAACCGAATCTTTCGAATCCATTTCGTCAAATAATCTCATCGCATCCTCTATAGCTCCACACTTTGCATACATTGAAAGCAGCGTGTTACCCAACATTACATTAAAAATAGACCCTGATTTAATTATGTAACCGTGTACCCTTCTCCCTCTTCTCAGATCAGTCAGCTTTGAGCAAGCTTGCAGTACAATCCCTAGTATAACTCGTGACGGACATATACAATCCCTGAGAAGCATTTGGTCATATAATTCCAATGCCTCTCTCGCAAAATCACGTGAAACATACAATCCAAACATAGCACTCCAAGTAACCTCATTTTTGACCACCATTATATAAAAAATCCTACTTGCATAAACTAGGCACCGACATTTGCCATACATGTCCAAAAGCCCAGTTGCAACCACCACATCACTGTGAAAACTCCTCCTCACACAGTAACCATGCACGGATTTCCCATGCCTCAAATCGTTCACTTCGCCAAGTGCAGGAAGAACTGACACTACCGTAGAAGAGTTGGGACTTAATCCTGCTTCCTGCATCCGAATAACCATTCTTATCGTGTCACTATACAGCCCGTGAAGAGACGAACCAGCAATCATTGCATTCCAGGCTACTACATCTCTATTAGACATATTATCAAAAACCTTCCGTGCTTCAATTAAACACCCACATTTAGTATAAAAGTCAACCAAAGCAGTGCAAATGTAGACATCAGACTCCAGCCCAAGTCTCCTCACATGATCATGAATCTTCCTACCATCTTCTATGACCTGTAAATTAGAACACGCTTTAAGAACAAATGGGTATGTGAATTTGGTGGGTGTGACCCCAGATTCAATCATTTTGTAGTACAATTCAATGGGAAATCGACTCACATCTCTCACAGTTATCTCTCTTCTTGCAACAACGCTGACATACTTCAGTGCCACATGGCAGTCTCCACAAATCCTCAAATTCTTGGTTACAAGAATGGGCTTGTCAGGGCCCAGACTAAGAATTCCAAACTATAAAATGAAATTCAAACAATGAATCAACGTAAAAATTGAAGGCAAAAGTATTTATCATATTCCCATCAAAAATATAATAATCAGTATCTCATATTCACCTTCCATTAACCTGATCCAGCAAATAACACTCATCACCATATAAAATGTATACAAGCAAAGTTCAGTCAAATTTTTTGCATTGAAATGTAAAGAATATCAAAAGGCAATGACAAGTAGTGTGTCTTGGTGCTGAATTATCATATATATAGAACGATGAAAAAAAAGGGCATGAGAAAAAAAGAACAAGGAAACCTAACTTTCTCATCAAAAGAAGTATCTTCACCAAAATCAATAAAGTTTTTATGTTTGTCATTACCAAAATAATACAGAAAGGGTAATTACAACTTCAACCTAGCATACACAATGCACAATGGACTTACACCAACATGAGTGGACCTCAGCTACACTCACATCAGTAGCCATTAGATGAAAATGAGACACCCGAGATGCGTGCACGCATGCACGCAAACTGAGGACCGAACCCAAGGCATAGCATGCAACACTAACAAGGCATGGCAAGGCATGAAACATGGTATGCAAACATGCAAATTTCAGTGCTGAAATGTGATGCAAAACAGCCCCGAAATATGGAAACATGGCACCCGATGCATGGAATGAACCCGAAACACAAAACCAGGCATATGCATTGGCTTATAGCTATACAAAAAATGCATTATTTGATCATGAAGTATGAAGAAAGAAGCAAGATAGTCCCAAAACATGCATATTTCCAGTTTATAACAAGTCCCAAAAACGAATGCAAATAGGGCTAATCTATCATGCAAGAAAAGGCCTAAAATAGAGATTAAACACAAAGGGACAGAAGATGGCCCCAAACAAAGAAGAGCCCTTCAACAAAGTTGAATAGAGGATCAAAATAATGCACTTTACAGTTTATGACCGAGTCCAAAATAGTGCACAAGTAAGCTTAAGACACTATGCAAAAATAGGCCTAAAAGAAGGTTTAAACACAAAGAGCAAAAAGGGAACCTCAAACAGTAAAGGACCCTTGATCAAACATGAAGAGGGAGTCAAAATATGACTCTTTTCAGTTCGGGTCGGAGCCCAAAAATAGAAGCACAAGGAGCTAAAAAAACATGCAAACAAAGGGGCCAAAAGAGGGATAAAGAGGCAAGTGATAGAGGGAAGTCCCAAACAGTGAAGAGCCCTTCAACAAAGTTGAATAAAGGCTCAAAATAAGGCAACTCACAGTTTATATCAAAGCTCAAAACAGTTTACAAATAGGCCTAAAATACTATGCAAGAAAGAGGCCTAAAAGAGGTTTTTAACACAAAGTGTAAAAAAGAAGCCTCAAATAGGGAGAAGCCCCTAATCAAACATGAAATAGAGATTAAAATAAGACTATTTTCAGTTAGGGTCGAAGCCCAAATATGCGAGCACAAGGGGGTAGAATATAGATCAAAATAAAGCAAGAAAAGAGGAAAAGAAGACTTACCCTTGAAGAACCAATCTTTGACAGCCTTTGGACCAAGTTTGGGGACTCTTAAGCTCTAGAAATGGCCTTCAAGTTGCTGGAATGGTGTGAGGAGGAGGGGTGCTATGGGTTGTAGAGTAAAGGGTGTAGGAATGGTCCAAGAACAAAAGGGTTTTGATGTTTGGAATAGAAGGGAAGAAGGATTGAATGCAAGAGGCTTAGAACCAATTTTTGTAACCTCCAAAACACAGCTGGGGGACCTAGATATATAGGCAAAAGTGTGGGAAAAAAGGGGGGGAAATGGATTTCAAATTTCCCCCCAAAAGTGCAGTCCCCCGGATACGCAATCTGAGGGGAAACAGAATACATATTTGTAATGTACCAGAGGAGGGGAGCAAGGCTGGCCTGGTATCTAAGTTGCAGGTGGCCGGCCGGCCTTCCCCATTGCCGGCCAGCCAAGGGTCAAAAGGCTCAAGAAGTATTAGTGGCCGGTCACCCCAGATTGGTGGCCTCCCATGTGTGCACAACACAACTATGTGGTCAAAAACTGGAGAAAGTAAACCAGGAGAGAGAAAAGGCCACTTTTAGGAGGGGTTCAAAAGGGTCACACACAATTACTGGCCGGCCATGTGATATTGGTGGCCTCCCAGGTGTGTACAACACAAATATGTGGTTTAGGGCTGAAAAAAGTGGCCTTAGGGTGGTCAACATTGGCTTTCAAGTGAGAAAAATGGGCGACAGAGGGTGATGGAGGAATAAAACTGGTTGTCAGAACAATTACTGGCTTCCCACCCTTCTACGACCTTCCTAACAATGAAACAGAGGTCCCTGCCAAAAATGAACCCAAACCGATGCAAAATGAAGGTTCGGGGGCCGGAACGCGCAGCCCGAGGCCCCGAAAACTGACTGTTAGGCACCGGAAGTGGTGTACAACCACGAAGTTGGTCTCTCGAGCCACAGTGTCCCTCAAAAGGGAGCAAATAAGATGCATGCCAAAAACCGGAGCAAACGGAGGTGGTTAAGCAGTCCCGAACCGAGGCACACGGCCAACGGCTTCGAAAAATCGGAAACCAGACTCTAAACGGGCAAAATGGCCTACGACCACGAAACGTAGCCTACGGCCACTGAGAGATGATCTACGAGACCTCTCCCTCCCTTCGAGAAGAGAAAATAGAGAAAACAGAGCTTGGTTCGCAAACCGAGGCAAAACATGAAAGAGTTCGGAAATTCGGAGGCAAGGCTCGCAGTCGAGACTCTGAAACTTCTGAACGAGCACTATATGCAATATCACCGAGCGCTCAACTGGTGACGTCTGAGTCTCAAGGTCGGTCAAAAATGGGGTGTCTACAGTATTTAATATTTGATTAAATCAGAAGTTCAAATAGCCCAAAACAAAGGTTTAAACAGCCTAGCACAACAACAGGCCAAAAGGTTCAAATGGAAGATATTCAAATTAGTAATGAAGAAAGTATAACGGCTATAAATGGCTATAAAGGTTCAAAAGGCCAAAAGGTTCAAAAGGTTGAAGTGTAAGATATTCAAATTTGTAATGATGGAGTGAAAGATATTCAAATTGGTAATGATGGAAGTACAACGGCTATAAATTCAAATGGCTACAACGGTTATAAATGGCTATAAATTCAAATGAATACAACGGCTATAAACGGCTATAATTTTCATTATATATAACAAAGTCTCTAATGTAAAAAAGTTACAAAAAACTTGAAAATATTTTTTGATCTATAATCACTCACATCTATTCTCAGAAATTATACACTGAACTTTATAGCTTTAAGCCCATCATTCCCGTGTGAGATTTACAGAAAAATCAAAATTTCATTTTATATATCTATCTTTTAGAGATATTTATTGTAAGCTTTCTTTGAAAGCAAAAATACCATTTCATCTTGTAAAAGTTTTACAAACACTGTGTTCTTGAAATCTTGAGAGTGATTGTGAATCACTTAAGATTTGCAAGGGTTTGGGCTTGTGAAGTCTGTGTAAAATCCGTGAAGGATTGCTCCATTTGTAAAGAGGTTGCTAGCACCCCTGTGAAGCTAGAAGATAGTAGAAGCTTATAAGGTGGTATGTGGTTCCACATAGGAACCAGCTAACTAAGTACAATATTGTTCATTGTTGGTGAAAATATCAGAAAAATTATATTTTAATGATAAATAATGCAAAGAAAAAGAGATACAAATATATTAGGCTGAGGCACCAATATCTCGTTTTCTTTAAAGAGATCAAGCCTACTGCGGTAGGAAGAATCCAAACAACGATGCAGCAGTCACAAAACTATTACTTGTCCCCTCCAGGATACAACAGCCTGACCACTTGTCGTATGGTTCAAGCTAACTCTGCACAACATGGTGAATCCAAAGCTCCACTAAGAAAAACACCATTCTTTGCTAATAATCTCTCTTATATAGAAAATAGTTGGTGTATCGGAGGGAGTACAGACAATAAAACTGGTTGTCAGAACAATTACTGGCCTCCCACCCTTCTACGACCTTCCTAACAATGAAACAGAGGTCCCTGCCAAAAATGAACCCAAACCGATGCAAAATGAAGGTTCGGGGGCCAAAACGGGCAGCCTAAGGCCCCGAAAACTGACTGTTAGGCACCGGAAGTGGTGTTCGACCACGAAGTTGGTCTCTCGAGCCACAGTGTCCCTCAAAAGGGAGCAAATAAGACGCATGCCAAAAACCGGAGCAAACGGAGGTGGTTAAGCGGTCCCGAACCGAGGCACACGGCCAACAGCTCCGAAAAATCAGAAACCGGACTCCAAACTGGCAAAATGGCCTACGACCACGAAACGTAGCCTACGGCCACTGAGAGATGATCTACGAGACCTCTCCCTCCCTTCGGGAAGAGAAAATAGAGAAAACAGAGCTTGGTTCGCAAACCGAGGCAAAACATGAAAGAGTTCGGAAGTTCAGAGACAAGGCTCGCAGTCGAGACTCTGAAACTTCTGAACGAGCACTATATGCAATATCACTGAGCGCTCAACTGGTGACGTCTGAGTCTCAAGGTCGGTCAAAAATGGGGTGTCTACAATATTTAATATTTGATTAAATCAGAAGTTCAAACAGCCCAAAACAAAGGTTCAAACAGCCTAGCACAACAACAGGCCAAAAGGTTCAAGTGGAAGATATTCAAATTAGTAATGAAGAAAGTATATCGGCTATAAATGGCTATAAAGGTTCAAAAGGCCAAAAGGTTCAAAAGGTTGAAGTGTAAGATATTCAAATTTGTAATGATGGAGTGAAAGATATTCAAATTGGTAATGATGGAAGTACAACGACTATAAATGGCTATAAATTCAAATGGCTACAACGGCTATAAATGGCTATCAATTCAAATGAATACAAAGGCTATAAACGGCTATAATTTTCATTATATATAACAAAGTCTCTAATGTAAACAAGTTACAAAAAACTTGAAAATATTTTTTAATCTATAATCACTCACATCTATTCTCAGAAATTATACACTGAACTTTATAGCTTTAAGCCCATCATTCCCGTGTGAGATTTACAGAAAAATCAAAGTTTCATTTTATATATCTATCTTTTAGAGATATTTATTGTAAACTTTCTTTGAAAGCAAAAATACCATTTCATCTTATAAAAGTTTTACAAACACTGTGTTCTTGAAATCTCAAGTGAAGCTTAAGGAGTGGATGTAGTGTGATAACCCTGTCCATTATTATGCTAATTGGTCCTTAATACAAATGTGATTATGTGTTTTGATATGATTTTGTGTGCCACTATGTGAAAATATGTGGTTTTGAACTTCTATCTGTTCATCGTAGGAATATCTATTTGATTATCTGCTTTGGAAATTAAATCGAAGGTCTTATCGGCCACAGAACCTGAAATTGATTGCGCCATTATGATTAGCGTAATTTTTAGAGCCTACGATGAAATTTAATTAGAAATTTATTCGGATCAGATTAAATTGATTTAATTAGCGAATTAGTGCCCCATTATTTGATATTAAAATAATGTGACCAAATGGGCTTTTAATAAAGGCACTATACACTCAATTTCTCCCTTTTATCTTAATTTTGGTTGATTATAAACTCTAAGAAAGTGAGAGGGTCGACTAGAGAAGGAGCAAGGGGGAAAATTATGTGTTTGGCTCAAGTTTGAAAAATTGGAAGGTTGAACTCAAGAATTAAGCATATATTGGGGAGATTGAGCTTCTAGGTGAGTAATCAACCTTTTGACTCATGAGTTTGATTTCTAATTTTGGGGATCGAAGATTAATTAGTGAGTTAGACTATGGATTGAATTGTGTTTGTTGAATTTAAAATCCATTGATGCATGCATGTAGGAAATCACTATGAATTTCCATAATTAAGCACAAAGTGTGTAATCCATGATCAATTTTGTTTGAAATTCATGTATTTGATCATTTCTTCACCAAATTAGTTGAGAATAATGAATATCTCCCACATGCAAGTGAAGATCATGGAGGTGTAAGCTTTGCATGTTTGAATTTAATGTGTTGGTGATGAGTTTGGGTTAATTTGGGACATGCATGTGATTAAATTGTGAAATTGAGCTTCATAATGATGTAATTTGGTATTTATACGATATTTTGAACCCTTGAATATCAAGTTGAAGCTCAAGAACACATTCTGAAAAACCCAGAAAATTTGACGTCCTCTCGAGTGGGAGAACCGCCGCTCGAGCGTGAATTTCGAGCTCCCAGTATTTTCTGCAGACATGGTGTTCGCTCGAGCGGGGAAGTTCATGCTCGAGTAGGGAGCCATGTAGAGAGGCCTTTCGCTCAAGCGCCAGAGTGCATGATCGAGCGTAAATTCGACATAACCAGTACTTTTGCAGGCCTCATGGGTCCGCTCGAGCGGGGGAATCTACGCTTGAGCGAGGACTCTGTTTTCTGAAATTTTGAAAAGGCATTCCGAGTTCCGTTTTCCGTTCTCTTTCACTTCTAAGTACTCTTAGGCATGCATTGAGCATTGTAATATAGTTAAAGAGATAAGAATGAGGCCTAAAGAGGAAAAATGTGAATTTAGAGCGGATTGAATTGTTAGTGACCCTTTTGTGTTCATGGTATGTGTAAGTCAAGCCTCCAGGGCAAATCAATCAGCCGATCACTGTGAGTATAAATCTTAACAGATATTTGAAATATGTTGTTGTCCAATTGTTTACTTTCTATGTAAGTTTTGTAAGTTCATAATGTTGATGATGGGACAACAATGACATATATGATTGGGCCCGAAGCTGATGACATAAAATGATGAGCCGAAGGCGATTGACATGAATATTGGGCCAAAGCCGATTACATAAAATGATTGGGCCGAAGGCCGATTACATGTAATATTGGCCGAAGGCCGATTGACATAAAATGATTAGGCCGAAGGCCGAATTGACATGCATGAATGGGGCAGAGGCCAGTTTGACATGCATGAATGGGCCAGAGGCCAGTTTGACATGAATGAAAGTTGAATGGACCAAAGGCTAGTTTGACAAATGGAAAATAAATGGGCCAAAGGCCAGTATGTTTGAAACCACAGTCACTTGACTTAAATTGTGTATATATATGTTAAATAGAAATATGAATTGGGCCCAAGGCCGTTTGAAGCATGTTGTTTTACGTACCATTTGTATAACTCCTTTATTTGATATTATTCACTAGGCTATCGCTCACGCTCATTCATGTATTTGTAGGTGAGCCAAGAGAGGTCCAGACCCAGCCTCAGTGAAGTCTGTATGGAACAACCAAAGTTTTGAAGAGTCAGCCCTTGCGTCTCACGCACGAGACACGTCTTCGCCATTTTACCTTTCTGTGTATTTTATCATGTTGGCGAGGACTTCGGTATACGTCTGTGTATAGTTTTGTTTGGCTGACTTAGAGTTGAATGATCCTGTCTGTACAGAACCTTATGCTACTATATTTTCTGAGTTATTAACATATGTAAAATGTGGAATGTTATGATGTGCATATAAGCACGGCTCTATGGACAAAGTTTTAAATTTGCTTCCGTTTGGCCCCTTTACTCTGATGAGTTTTGTCTTATTTGGTTTGAGGCTGTAGGTAATCTCGTGATTACTGGCCGGTTATGGCCTTAACCCATAGGGGCGGGTTCGGGTCGTGACAAAGTGGTATCAGAGTACAAGTTAATAACTCACACACTTGTCCAAAAGAGCAATAAGCGCCTAGAAAAGATCTAGGATGCATTCATGTGATAAGTATGAATCTGAAAGCATCAAGAATACGCTTAAATGTTTAATATGAACGAATATATATTATAAGTTGGTGATTCGCTTGCATTGCAAATTGTTTGAATACGTATGCTTTTTAGTATATGCATACTTGTGAATCTTTTGTACAAAGTATAATGCAAGTTTAATCAGATATTGAGAACATGTGATAATATGAGATGTGAATTGTTGCACTAATGTGTACAACAAGTTTGTTTTGTTATAAGGCACATATATGAACATATGAATCATGAAAAGTTGTTTATGTGCATTCGATTATGCCAATGGGTGTCTATGTGAAATATGAACGTGATTTGAGTACATAATTACTTAGTAAATGTTTAGCATGCGATATCTGATAAGTATGCAATCATCTGTTATGGGAAAAATTGGGCCGAGCTGAGAGTTGGGCATTGAGGCCCAAAACACGAAGGACTACGTAAAAAGGCCGTACTGAATACTCCGGCCTAGAGGGCAAGGTTACTCCGGCCTTGGGGAGACAAAGTTACTTCGGCCCAAGGAGGTGGGTTTATTCCGGCTCAAGAAGAGATAGTTGCTTCGGCCCAAGGAAGAGTAAGGCTACTCCGGTCCAGAGGCAACTCGGAGTAGGGCCGGTCTTAGAGTTAGTCCGGTCGCAGTATGTTCTGGGAAGACCGGCTTCAGAGTTAGTCCGGTCGTGACATAATCTGGTTAGGTCGGTCAGAACTTGTTACTTGGAAGTTTGAACTAAGCACATCAAGGTTGAACAGGGTAGCCGAAGTAAAGAGTTGGAGGAGAAGACCGAGCTAAGGATAGTTCGGCCCTCTGCGGCTCGGTATAGCCAATTTTACTTCGGTCAAATGGAAGTTCGGCCATAAAGAAAACCATCCCACTTGGTTTAAGCAGTGGGGGAGGGTGTAAAAGGATAAGTATTATCCTTAGGAGAATGAATCCTAGGAGGACTCTACATGGAGAAATACAAGTCCTACTAGGATTGTGCCATATGAAACTTATAAAAACTCACAAGCATCACCTTGGAGGAGGTAATTGAACACAATCTTTCTGAGAACTTAGAGCTTTGTCTATTTGTCAAGTTTTCTGACTTAGGCATCGGAGAGGTTTCCGGCACACACCCGCCGGCTAGCTCACGTTTGTGTTTTCAGGTGACAAAGCAACGTCGTACGGAGGAGCGTGGACTTGGTCAACAGGATTATACGAGGAGAATTATTTCCTCCCCGTACATATGTGATTAATTGTGTCTTGTCGATACATAAAATGAGAAAATAACAATGTGTCTATGTGCGAATGTACGCATGTATATCTGTGTTTATCTTTGTATTGGGCATCTTGGTATTTGGCAAGGCTTAATAAGAATCTGTGTAGAACACGGATAAAGTAAGGGCATACGAGTTGGCAGACTCTTCCATAGCCCTACTTGATAGACTGGAAAGAATAGTATAAGAAATGGCAGAGATTTTGAGACAACAACGTCAGTTGCCACTGCGGTGAGAACCTTTGCCACCATCAGTGTAAGAAACGCCGAGAGGTTTGTTATCGGACTTCTGGGCTCGTTATAAGTGTGGTAAAATGGACCATATGGTAAGGAATTGTCCCCGAACTGGACAAAATGTGAATAAATCTTCTGCCTCGGCTAGATTCGTACCAGTGGTAGAAAATTGACTGGACTATGTGACTATATTAAGCTTGACTCGTCAACCTATGTTTTGTGACTGATTTGGAACCTCTGCGTGACAAATCCTATATTATGTGTAATTGTAACAACCCTCACCACACTGTCTAACGATAAACTACCGATTACTGCTAAACTGAGACTGATTATGAAAAGTAATTGAACTGATTGAAATACTGAACTGACTGACTGAAATCTGAAACTGATTGATTGACTGTATCCGTTTAAATGCATTATCTATCTGT